CGATCATCGCCCAGGCCTCCCTCGCGCACACGAGCTCGGGGGGCGGAAGGGTACCAGTCTGACGACAAAGACGCCGGCACTACAGCAGGATATGCGATGGTCAGAGCTCGTCGGGCACTCAAGGCACTACGGAAGCTGGGCTTGGCAGAAGACTCCACACTTGTCATCCAGGCCAAGAAGAGAAGGCACGCGGCCGCGGCTGAGGAGCAGTCACGCCGCTTGCCCGACGACATGTTGCGACGCAGCCTCGACCGCCTCAACCACAAGTCTAAAGAGGGGATCGAGCTCACTACCAGTGACGCCGACATGGAGTCCAAGCTCAGCGCTGAGCGGCAACAACGGGAGACGACCAAAGATGAGCTCGCCGCCAGCCAGCACGAGGTTCACCTGGCACGCGATTCGACCGCGGCAGTTTCAGCCACGCCGACAGCGGCCCCCTCGACGCTGTACGATTTCGCTTTGATCCCCTCAGGGGCCGCTCACGATCCGACTACACTACCACAGCCATGGGCCATGGGACACGGTGCTCTCAGGCGGTGCGACGGGTGCGAGGGGAAGCTGATTGGGCACTCAATTACCACAGATACTCGGTGCCGTGTGTGGGGCTGGAGATTACAGTTACTATGGCCACCGCGGAAGGCTCGCCACCGAGGCTTGCACGACGCGCTCCCAGGAGGGCGTCTCGCAAGGCTTCCACCATCACCACCTACAACGCCAATGGTTGGGCACGGCTCAAGGACTAACTCCAGGACGGTGCAGGTGGCCCCCTATTCATGGCTTCCCAGGAGGTGCGCCTAGCAGGGATGCTAAGTTACATGCCGAAGAACGGTGTCATCGCCATGGTTGGAAGGCATGAATTACAGATTGCGTTTTGGGTCCAACTGGTAAGCTGATGGGTGGTTCACGGCTGTTCATACGGCAACACATTGGCACCACCCACCTGGAAGCCATGCCAGGCATTTGCGACCATGTGATTGTGCTGAGCTGGTGTGTGGGGGGTTTTCGTTCACACGGGCCCTCGTGGCGGTTTTGTGGCCTGCTCCCTTTTCTTGGAGCAAGGCCTTGCGCTACGAGGGGACAATGCTTCTCCACTGCATTGGCTCGGATCTATGCTACGTTTCTACCACGCCCCTTACATCGTCGCTGCGGACTGGAACATTAGCCCGACAAAGCTGAGCGAGTCCAATTTTGTTGAGACGATTGATGGCCACTTGGTCGTTGTTTCCCTGGGCTCGAACAGAGTGGCAAAGACGGGAGAACACACCTTTCTAGATTACTGGGTGGCCAATGGCAGCCTTGCAGCGGAGATGGTGCACGCTTGCAGGTTGCACGGTACGTTGCAGCAGGCGTGGCAGCGCACGGCGCCAGTGGTGCTTCAAGCTGCGCGTCCTTGGGGGCGTGTTGGAGGACCTGCTGGGGCCACGGCACCAGCAATGAAAGACCCTGGATGGGTCGCGTCATCGGCCTTTTCATGTTCAGACAGATCTTGGAGACGTTTTGGATCCCAGGACGTTCCCTCCGAGCGCGCTCAAGGACCTTACTCGGGACGCTGCCGCGCGGAGGTTGCGGGCCGACGGGGCCAACAGGCCCGACCGAGATGCCTCAGAGAATCTGGACCACAAGACTCCAATAGGCTATTGACTGGACCCCGTTCTGGCTGTTCTCCAACGGGCACGCGAAGAAGAGGACCCCGAGCGCCCCCACATTCTGTCTCTCCAGCAGGCGGGCACACTTCGAGCGATGGCCATGGGAGGATTATGGCCGCCAATCCGTCGACATGTCCTCGGCTATGTTGCCAGTCCTACATGTACGTTGTGCTCCCACCGTGTAGCCGACTATGTCCATGGGAGGAATTCGTTGTACAATAAAGCAGATATCGAGGCCTTACCATGTCCTACCACTACTGCTTGGTTTTGGAATCGTTGCCTCTACTCCGACGCTTTACTACCGACTGTACCACTACGCGACGATTCGATAGAGTGGCCTTCCATATATGGGGATTGTTCGGCTGTGTCAGGAGCTGCATTCACGAACGGGGCCTGCCACACGTACCACTATTGGAAGGAAGCCACTCGAGCGGGATGGGGATTTGCCCAAGTCACAGAATCTACTGTCGAGCTGTGCGTTTTCGGTGCTCTGCCTGGCCCGATACAGACCAGCCCGCGCGCCGAGATGTACGCTGTCGCCCAGCTCCTCAAGGTAGCCTTGCTTCCGTTGACAGTGTGCACCGATATCATCGAGCTGCCGCGGGGCCTTACAAGAGGCAACCGGTGGTGCTGCTGGCCGAAGCGACCGAATGCGGATTTGTGGATCGATATTTGGGCGAGAATAATTGGTGATCTAGGAGGACTGAGCCCAGATTTGAGATTTCTCTACACGCCAGGCCACCAGACAGGTCGATCGCTCGAGGCTCGAGGGAATCGTTGGGCCGATGTTGCTGCCGTCCAGGGCAGGGACCTCCATGCGGTTCCGCATGCCCAAGTGAAGGTTGCGAAAGCTCGTTTCAATGCCGTTAAGAAAGCACTTGTCTGGACGGCCAATGAACACACTGTATATATATGTATATGAGAGAGAGAGAGAGAGAGAGAGAGAGAGACTGACCGCGCCCCCAGGACAGGAGCGTTTTGATGAGCGTCGTCGCCGTCGGCTGTCGCGGGAGGAGGGGAGAGTCGGTCGAGTTCAGGACTACGTACATAATTTGTACGCTGTGCGCGAGGGCTGGAGGTGTTTCGCCTGAGGCCGCAACACCCGCTCCGAAGCCCAGCGCAAGATACTGGCGCGCCAAGTGTGCCCTGCAAAGCTCGCTGCCCGTGATAGATTAGTCGGGGGGGGGGGCTTGCGGGAAGGGGTCGAGGATAGGATCCGAGAGCGATCGAGGTCACCCAAAGGGTCCTCAGAGCCGCCTCGGAGTCGTGCGCGGAGAGAGGCCCCTCCCGCGCATTCGCCCCGCTCGCCTCGCCTCCGCCGTTTTCCCACCCGAGGGCGAGAGGAGGGTGCGTTTCCGTAGCGACGTTGACGCCGCGGCCTCTGCTGCCGCCGATCGTGTTCGCCCCCACACATCCGATGAGCCCAAGCCGCCGTGCAAATCTCACCGCGTGACGCCCCGTGGGGGCTCGACTGCGCCGAGTGCCCGCCCCGATGCTGCGCTGCCCGCGCAAGGTGATCCCCCTCCTGGAGCGGCCAGAGGGCATGAGCTCTTCGCGGCCCCTGGCAGGGAGGTCATTTGTTTGTTGCCCGGTAGGATATCAACGGGGAGGGCTTCGTCCCCTTTGGACCCCTGCCCCCCGCCCCCAATCTCCAAGTGGGGGCAGTCCCATATTCATATGTTGAATACCAACAGGCATCCTGCTGATCTGCATCGCTTCGAAAGTATTTCGGGGCAGAGGCGGTTGCAGGTTGCCGATCCAGAGGTCGCCTGGTTACGACTAGACGCCCATCCATATTGATTGATTCGCGAACTCATCCTACGTCTGAGCCTCTCACTATCTTTTCTTGTACTGCTCAGCTGCGCTGTGGCGCTTCTCCGCCGAGATCCCCAGAGTGGGTATCGAGAGGCGTCGTGTGCAGCGTTCGGCCTGCTTCCAAGGCAGTGGGCCCGTTTGAGAGTGGCCGTTTGTGCGAAGCGCAACGGTTCCCCTCTATGCTGCGCACTCCTCCTCCTCCTCTTATTAGTACTATCATGCGTCTTCTTCATGTTAGCATTCCCAGTCGCATCAATAGTATCAGTAGTAATGGTGGCAGTAGCCGTATGAGAGCCTGTTCAATGATTGCATGGTTGGTAAAAAATACTGCTTTGTTAAATATTGGTATTAATAAAAATGGTAGTCGTAGTAATAGTAGTAGTAGTACACGTAGTAGTCGGAGTAGTAGTAGCAGTAGTAGTAGTAGAAATAGTAGTAGCAGGATTAATAGTGTAGTAGGAGAAGTAGTAGTAGGCGTAAGCTTAGTCGCAGTCGTAGTCGTAGTCGTAGCTCTGGTAGTAGTAGTAGTAATAGTAGTAGTCGTAGTAGTAGTAGTAGTAGTAGTCGTAGTCGTAGTCGTAGTAGTAGTCGTAGTAGTAGTAGTAGTTGTAGTAGTAGTGGTAGTATTGGTAGTAAACGTAGTAGTAGTCGTAGTAGTAGTAGTAGTAGTAGTGGTAGTAAAGGTAGAAATAATACTAGTAGTAGTAGTAGTAGTCGGAGTAGTAGTAGTAGTAGTAGTAGTAGTAGTCGTAGTAGTAGATGTAGTAGTAGTAGTAGTAGTCGTCGTAGTAGCCGTAGGAGTAGTAGTAGTAGAGGTTATAGTAGTAGTAGTAGTAGTAGTAGCAGTAGTGGTAGTAGTAGTAGTAGTAGTGGTAGTAGTAGTAGTAGTAGTCGTAGTAGTAGTAGTAGTAGTAGTAGTAGTGGGAAGAAGTAGTAGTAGGCAGTAGTAGGCAATAGTAGTAGTAGTAGCAGCAATAGTAGCAGTAGTAGTAGCAGTAGTAGTAGTAGTAGTAAAAGTAGTAATCGTAGCAGTCGTCGTCGTCGTAGTAGTAGTAGTAGTAGTAGTCGTAGTAGTAGTAGTAGTAGTAGTAGTCTGAGGAGGAGTAGTAGTAGTCGGAGTAGTAGTAGTAGTAGTAGTAGCGGTAGTAGTAGTAGTAGTAGTAAGTAGTAGTAAGTAGTAGTAGTAGTAGTAGTAGTAGTAGTAGTAGTAGTAGTAGTAGTAGTAGTGGTAGTGGTAGTGGTAGTGGTAGTGGTAGTAGTAGTAGTAGTAGTAGTAGTAGTAGTGGAAGTAATGGTGTAAGTAGTAGTCCTGGTATCATCATTATTGGTAGTCTTATAGTAATGATATTATTGTGCAAAATCCTTTTCCTCCTCCTCATTCTTCTCCTCGTCCTCCTCTTCCACCTCCTCCTCCTCCTCCTCCTCAAACCTTCCTGCACCCGCTCCGACAGCACGTGCCCAGCCCCCCGCGGATCCAGGGGGGGCGACTGATGTCCCATCCAGGGTGGCGCTGTCGGTACCTTTCCCTCCTGCACGAGCCTGTGTTCGGGTTGGCGGCGATGAAGCGCGCCTGCTGCAGGGACATGATACTGGCGGCCTCCATCGAGGCGAGCGTCCCGAGGCGACCGTCCGCGCGGCCGGCGAGGATGACCACGTCGGACGTGGTCATGTGGGTCATCTCATGCACGAAATGGTCCTCGCCGTTCTGGCCCAAGACGCCAAATGTGGTAAACCGGAATGCGAGGGCACGCAGCTTGGACACATAGGCGCGGAGCAGCTTGTAGTTGACCGTGCAGTCGACTATGACCAGCGTCTTCCCACAATAGCGCACGAAGAGGCGGCGGCCAGTGCAGAGTCGGTGCACCGTGGCCATGCAAGCGCCCATGAAGACATAGAGATGGGCATCGAGATGCGCCACAACGTAGCTGATGGCCACCCACCACCACTCGTCTGGATCATCGTCGAATGTAGCTGTGTCAGATATGTGGCCCCACGCGGCGCTGAACAAGGGGTATCCAATGGTCACCGTGATGTAGACGTACACGGCTGAAAGCAGCAACGAGTCTGCCACCGCGCTCTGGCACGTCGAGGCGCAGTATAATGACTACGATCTGTCTGGGAGAGTTTCGACAGGTCTCTTGGGGCAACCTTCCGCCCCACCCTTCGAGCACCCGTGCTTAGAATGATAGCGCACCCACGGTTTGCTCTCTGGCGCTCCCCGCGGCCCCAAGATGGCCCAAGACCGCTCCAAGATGGCCGATGGAAGGCACATAACTAACACATGGATGGCCCAAGCGGCCCCTAAGACGCCCCAATAAGCCCCAAGAGGCGCCCAAACTGCTCCAACAGGCCCCCACATGGCTCTGGCAAGGGCTGTGGGAGGCGCGCGCACACACAGAGGAACAACTCGTGTTGTTAAACTGCATTTGCTTCCCAAGCTTTTCTACCCAAGATGGCTTCAGGAAGGCTCTGAGGGCTCCGAGACTGGCCCAGACAACTTCAAAAAACCCTAAACACGGCCCAAGACAACCCCAAGAGGTCCCGCCAAGACAGCCCGTGGACCCCCCGAGACGTCACAAGAACGCCCCAAATGGGCCACTGAGTGGCCCCGAGGCCCGTTGAAATAGCCCCAAGAGGTCGGGACGATCGGGGCATCTCCAGAAGGCTCTCGGCGAGGCACAGCTGCTGGAAGGCATCCCGAGGCTGGAGAAAGCTTCCCGGAAACCGCAGACACGCCCGAAAACATCGCCCGAAAGCTCTACGCCCGCCGCTACCGTTTTGAGAATCTCTGGGCGCAGTCAAGCTGCTGCAATAAGGAGCACTGAATAAGAAACGAAGACCCTGTATGGCACCAAAGGAGCCTGGGCGCACGAAGACAGGCCATCTATCACGGAATGACCCCAGGAGCAGCGAGACCCTTCTAAACCTCAAGCGGTCCTTCTGTCAGCGTCTTGGCGCTCACCGCGGTAACGCTCACCGCTCACCGCTCAAGCGGTACCGCTCGCCGCTCCTGCACTCCTAGCGACGTCGGCGATGCATCGGCGACGTCGGCGTGGAGGAATCGGGCTCCACACCGAGCCGCATCGCGCCGATGCATCGGCGATGCGGCGCGATCCTCCGACCCCGTCCACTCGGATCGCCTCTGGGAGCCCAAGAGCTCCGCACAGGTCCTCCTCCCGCCCGGGGCCGTCGGGCATTTCCTCCCACAGGCAGACTTGAAGAAACATCAACATAGTCAACAATATACAAACACAGTCAAGAATAGTCGAACAATCGCCCCCAGACTGTTGGCTATTCTGGAGTCTTCCTCCTGTAGAGGGACACGCCCGACGTAAGGCCAGGGGGCAAACAAAAGCCTGGGCGCGCGATGCCGCCGCGGTGCGCGGCCCGCGGGCGGGGAAAAGGCTCCGGCGGCCGCGGCATCGGCGGCGGCGGATCGCGGCGCGGCAGCCAGCGATCCGACGACGCATGCCTTCGGCGGCGCGCCGACGACGACGACGACGACGACGACGACGACGACGACGACGACGACGACGACTACGACGACGACGAGGACGCCGAATCTCTCGTGTTCGGCCATGGGCCCCTCGTTCCGGCGGCGAGCGAGGGTGGAAGTGCGAAGGGGCGGGCCTTCTCGGGAGGCTCGGAAGATCCCCGGCCTTCGGAGAAGCTTTCTGAGCCCTCGCCGGAGACACCGACGACCTCTCGGGGAAGGCTCGAGGGGGCTCCTGGGAGGCCCTGCCGCCTTCTGAGAAAGCCTTCTCCTTCGCAGTTCCCCCCCCCGCTCGCCGCCGCTTCCTGATCTCTACATATACCAAACGAGCGAGCTGCGCTGTTCGCAGAGCGATTTCTCGCAAATGGCATGGATCCGCCGCGGAGGACCCACGACCCATGACGTCGAGGCAGACATGTGTGCTTCTGGCGTTTGCGAAGAGGCACCTTGCGAGTAGTGGAACTCGCTCGGTAAAATATGGAGCCCACAGAAGGCTCGACACCTCCCCCGGGACCCGCGTCTCTTCCCGAGCCGTCTCGTGACGGCCCCGGCTCAGCGAGGACCCCGAGAGGCCGAGAACGACAGGAAAAACTCGGCCCTGAGACTTCTTCCATGCGTTGGATCTCTGGGCCCCCTGGCAGGGGTGGGTTCGACCCCCCCCCTGAGAGGTCTTCCCTCCTGGAAGGGGAGAGGGGGGTTCGACCCCCCACCCCAAGGGAGGGGGTGGGCCCTGTTCAAGACCCCCCCTCCTCCAAGCGCCAGCAGGACGCGCTCTTTCCGAGATGTCCTCCGTGCGTGTGATCTCTGGGCAGGGCGGCCAGAGAGCCGCCGTGAGCCAACGGGAACGCCAGGACATCCCCCCCCCCGGGGCGACGGGGCACGCCGCACGGCGGCCGCATACCACCCCTCCATCAGGTGGGACGCCAGGTACCGGCCGACGAGCAGGACGCTCGCCTGATTGGGGGGCATGATCCTCCTCCTCCTATTCCTCCTTCTCCTCCTCCTCCTCCTCCTCCTTCTCTTCCTCCTCCTCCTCCTCCTCCTCCTCCTCCTCCTCCTCGCTAACCCTTTGGGAGGCCACCTAAGTTAGGAGGGCCCGAACCTGTGGGGATGGGGGGGTCTTTTCTGAAGATCTGTCGCACCAAACCGCCCAGACGTTTGATCCCTGATGTAAAGACCAGGGATCTCAGTGAGGCCACGTCTCCCATGTGTTATCAGGATTGGGGGTCCTTTTACCCTCGATGGTCGCCCGCAACTCCGAGGGCCGCTCCGCCACAACGCCCGCCCGGCTCGCGCCGCACAACTCCTCGAGATCGTCTTCTGCCTTGTCGGCGATGCCCAGGCCCCCTCTCAGGGCCATGGTAAGAGAGATCGCGACGAGGGGCTTTAAAGACCTCTTTGGCCTCTGGGGAGCCTCGCTTAGACTCGGGGCTGGTAGAACACGGCAGGGGGGCTGGGCAAACAGGGTCGGCGGAAATCGGCAGCCCAGTCAGGAGAAGTCGAACCGGCGGCAATCGGCAGGCTAGTACCGCCTCAATATTGAGAAGCTGACTCCAACTCGGAATCCCAAAAGCCAAATCGAATCGGGGTCGGAGCCGGTCCGAATCGAATCGAATCGAGTCGGAAGAATCGAAATGAGCCCTGGGGGGGTCGGCGGGCCCGATGCGTGATCCGGGTGATCGCCGGGCCCTACACAAACAAAAAACAGTCTCCTCCGCCGCGGGCAGCAGGGACTGCAGCAGGCGCGGCACGTCGCGGACGTCCGAGGCCCGGAGCGTGAGGGCGGGCAGGGCCGCCTCGAGAGGGACCCTGACAGAAAGAACGTTGCTGGGGTTTTCGAACGTTTTCGTCGGCTCCTGCTGGTTTTCGTGCCTCGGGGCGCGTTCCAACAACTGCGCCTCGCCGAGGCGCTCAGGGGGTGCCCAGATCGTCCCGAACGGCCGCCGGAGACCTGAGCGATGGCCGATGGCCCGAAAGCCGAGGGGGGAGAGGGACCCTAAAATCTAGGCGTCTCAACTTTTTCACGCTGGGCATGTTCACCCCTCTTTCGGCCCCGGGACATCACAGATCGATCTGGCTCCAAAAATGCCGCAGAAAGATAGGGTCTGGGACTCCGGTCGCGCTTTCTCGCGACGTCGCCGTTTGTTCGCGACGCCGGACCTCAGGGAAGAACAAACTGCGTAAACAGAAACCTTCGGAGGTCCGCAGGGAGTTCTTTTGGGACGCCCGAAATGGGTACGGACAAAATGAGTACGGTGCCCAACAGCAAATGTTGCCCCTAACCTACGGCGGCCGCTGTTGGGCAGGCGGCCTTCTGTCTCAAGTCGACAACGACCGCGGCGACGCCGACAGCAAACCCTGTTCAAAATGGACAAGAAAGGCTGTTGGACTTTGCACCCTTTAATTCCGTACCCATTTCGCTCGTGCCGATTCTTGGGTCGGCGGCGACGCCCCCCCCGGGGGCGCCGGAGGGGCCGCCAGGGGGGGCCGGCTCCGAGACAAGAGGATCATTACCGATTCTCCGGCAGTACATGTTCGGACCCAAGCGTGGCGGCGACTCGAGGAAGGAAACCGAGGGGGGAGTGATAGGCGAGGGAGAATGTTGGGACTAGGGGTCGGGGGAGGCACCGACCCCCCAGGGGGGGCCCGACCCCCCAGGGGGGGGGGGCCCATCGGTATGGGTAGTCTAGTCTTAGCATCACTCCTCACTCCCACTTACTGCACTCCACCCAAGCATGGGGAAACATCGAACGGGAACCCTTGTCACCGAGTCTGGGCCTCCACCAACTTGTCTGAATTACGAATATCTCGAGCGAAAGCGCCACTCTTGAGTTCGGGGGCTTCTCTGGCAAGGGCCTAGGCGAATACATCTTGAGGAAGTATCGAACGAGGGCCCTTGTCGTCGCAGTTGGGCCTCCACCAGTTTGACTGAATCATGAGATCGCCGTTCCTGAGTTCGGGGGCCTTCCTGGCCAGGGGCTCTCGGAGTACATCGTGAGGACGTATCGAACAGGAGCCCCTGTCGTCGTGGCCGGCCTCCGCCAAGTTGACTGAATTGCGAGGACGTCTCGAGCGAGAGCGCCGTTCCAGAGTTCGGGGGCCTCTCTGGTCAAGATGTCTTGGGGTACATTGTGAGGAAATATCGAGCGGGAGCCGTTGTCGTCGTACAGCTGGACCTCCAGATGTACACTTCTACACTCAAGCCCACGCTCAAGCGGGAGCCTCGTTTCCAGAGAATATGTGGCCGGCGTCGAGGCGAGAGCGCGCGGAACCGTTTCCGGAAATCAGAAATATCTATTCTCTAGAACGAATCATTAACAACAACAACAACAACAACAACAACAACAACAACAACAACAACAACAACAACAACAACAACAACAACAACAACGACAACGACAACGACAACGACAACGACAACGACAACGACAACGACAACGACAACTACAACTACAACCAAAGCAACAGCAACAGCAACAGCACCAGCAACAGCAACAACAACAACAACAACAACTACAACAGCAACACTCATTTTAAGACTTTCCGCTCATGTCTGCTCACGTATATCCCAAGCCCTCGGCGGTACCCGCCCGAATCGTCTTCGACTGTACCCCCTCGGGGGTATGTAGTCCTTACATGCCACGCGCTTTTAGTGCATACCCCAAAATAAGGGAAGAGAGGACGGGTGGAAGGGGTAGGGAGAAGAATGGAGCACGAGAGAAATTAGCAGGAGGGAGGTAAGGAGCAGAAAACAAGTGGTAAAACCAGACGGCCAGGCCGGGTGGGTAGACCCATGGCGGGCAGGTCGGAAGGCGGGCCCAGGCGACCAGGTCGAGCGGGCGGGCGGGCCGAGCGGGCGGATCGATCGTGAGTTCTGCGTGATTAGCAAAGAAATTTCCAGCGAGAGAGCGATTCCTAAGTAAATTCAAGGAAGTCCCCAGCGAACGCGCGATTCCTGAATGGCAACAGCGCAGCGCCTGGAAAAAAAACAGGGAAGTCTCACGCGGGAGCGCGATTCTGGAGTACATTGCGAGGAAGTCTCATGCGGGAGCGAGGGACCAGAATAAACTTCGTGGAATTATCCAGCGGGAACCACTGTGATTGTAAACCGGGGGGCATGGGCACAATTTGAAGAGGAAGACTTGCCCTGATAAAATCAGGGTGCGAGCGCCGGAAGGGGCACTTCAATTGAAAAAATACAAAGTGCACCAGAGGGGGGACCAACAATAATCATTCTTGAGTTCAACAACAATAATTTATCCTCATGCGCGATGCTTCCACACGCAGCATGCGACCATCATGATAACCATCCCCATCATGGGGGATTATTGTTCTATCGCGAGGGTCCGTTATTCCCATTCCCAGATATCCCGCCCAATGAGGTCTTGCAAACACCTCCTCCGAAGAATTTCAGCATATCCCGCCTCGAAAACACATTCCCGCGCCCTGCTGCGCCGATGCGAGACCGCCAGCGGAGCCCCAGCCAATGGTCAAGCACAAGGAAGTATCGAGCGACAGGATTGGCTTGGTGGGGATGGGGGCTGTCGGCGGCGAGGCCAGGACCTGGTCCTGAATAGAAAAAGACAAAGTCTCGAGCAGGGGTGCTATTGTTGCTGGGAGCGACGCCAATGCAGAACAGAGTAGGGCGCTAATCGAGCGTGAAACAACACGAAGTCTCGAGCGGGAGCTCTGGTTCTGTTGGGACGGCGGCTGTCGGCGGCGAGGAGGAACACCGCCTTGAGTAAGAAGGGGGGACGTCTCGAGCGGGAGCCGCGGTTTTGTCAAAACGGGGGCTGTCGGCGGCGAGGAGCAGCACCCTCTTCAGGAAGGAGGGAGGAAGCCTCGAGCGGGAGCGTTGTTCTTGCTGGGGGCGGCGCCAATTCAAAAGAGAGTTGGGCGCCAGTCCAGCGTAAAACGGGAGAAAGTCTCGGGCGGGAGCGCTGGTTTTGTTGGGGCGGCGGTTTTCGGCGGCGAGCAAAAGCACCCTCTCTGAGTAAAAAAAGAGGAAGTCTCGAGCGGGAGCGTTGTTCTTGCTGGGGGGGACGCCGATGAGAGAAAGAGTAGCGCGCCAGTCCAAGGTAAAACAGGAAGAAATCTCGAGCGGGAGCGTTGGTTTTGTTTGGGCGGCGGTTCTCAGCAGCGAGCAAGAGCACCGGCCCTGGGTAAAAAAAAGAGGAAGTCTCGAGCGGGAGCGTTGTTGTGTTTTGGCGCCCTCCCAAACCGCTCGAGCGTGGGCCTCATTCTCAACGAACATTTAGCCGGCGCCGAGGCGAGAGCGCCAGAGCGCCTGGGGGGGTCCAACAATCATAATCGCTTGGCAGTTCACGTTCAACGACAACGAAATCTCCGTCATGGTTCTGGAGGCTTAGAAAAATGGGCACCAACACCAACACAGGGGTGCACCTCCTCCAGGGAAAAACCATCCTGGATCCTGCTGCTGGTGGCCATCCTTCGGCAGCCCAGGAAGCCCGAATATTACCACCATCGCCGAGATCGGGATCATCCTCCGACGGTGGAGGCCCACCGCCGATACCGCTACTCCCTGGACCTCTCCCGGGGCGCGTTATGGCCAGAATTTCGAGGCGAATCCAACGGTGGCGACGAGGGCCTCCGAGGAGGCCACACAGGGGGCAAAGGGCTAAGAGTAGAGGTGTGTATAGGCACCTTCTCCCTCTCTGAGTGCCGGTGCCAACCTGTTCCTCCCCTGGGCCTTGGTGAGGCTGTGCAGCACCCACTCCTGCGGCTGGCCCGGCTCCTCCTGCAGCACCCGCTCCTGCTGGGCATCGTTTACCCGATCCCTATCCCCACTCGTGTGGCCTGGGCCCACTGGCCGATTTACCCCCCCAGATGGGGATACGGGCTGTTCCCCTAGGGTTATGAAGGGTATATCCCCAACTGGGGTGGTGGGTGATGGGGTCGAGATTGGGATGGGCATGGGGATAGGGATCGGTTAACCGATATTGACCTGCAGCACCCACTCCTCCTGGAGCGAGAGCGCGCTGCCGCCGCCAGGGCCGGCGCCGGGGCGCTCCTGGCCGAGGCCGCTTGGAGATGCCAGGGTTCCCGCGAGCACGACCCTCAAAGGGGCACCGTCTCACCGATCCCCATGCGAACGTTCTGCTGTTCGGCGTTTCGGCATTGGGCAGAAGGGGGGAGAGGGTAGGGGGGTCTGGCTCCAGACCCTTCTGCTTCACACGATTGTTTGGTGGGGGAGACCCCGCCTGCCTGAGACAGGCACCAAAAACAGCGAAGATCTACACCATGGAAGGGGAGTAGGAGGGGGGGGTGCGAGGGCCCACTCCGATCGGCAAAACGATGAATAAGAAAACGATCACTGTCCCCCCACCAGAGATCCAACGCATCAAAAAATGCAAAACAAAATGCAATGCAAAGTTTTCTCCGCTGTTTTCGAGCCCTGGCATCAGAAAACGACTCGGGATGAAAAACCAGCCCCAGGAGATAGGGTCGAGACTTCGGGGGACCCCGTGTTGAAAAATCTACGACGTTGGACCTCTGGATCTCCACTGGCGTGGCCTTGGTACCACTCGCCGACTTAGGAATTATTGTCTACTGTTTCCGGTGACGGTCGTTCCCCAGAAGGGAAGGGGGCTTAGGGCCCCGTGCAATGGTAACGTTTGGGCGGGGTGGGGCACGTCGAGGCGGGATGCGCTACGATCGCGTCAGTATGCGCGCGAGCACGTGGGGAAGGGTCCAGGCCACCCCCACTCCCTACATACGATCGTTACCGTTCTCCGGCGGTTAACGGCCGTTACGCGCCAGAGGATCAAGAAACAGCTTCTCGGTGGGGATCTGTGTCTGGTCCCCCGGGGTTTCGTGTGACCTATCCCCGCCTCGGAGGGTGGACTGGTGGGGCTTGAGATACCACGGGCCAACTGGGATGGGGAAAGGTGTAACGATGCTGACCTCAGGCACTCCCCCTCGCAGGAGACGTCGAACACGTGCGCCGAGCCGTCCGGGAACGACTCGATCAGCTGCACCCTGTCCTCCGAGGCGCGACCGATGGTGAACACGGACCTGCTGTGGACGTGGTCCCCGGAGCCCTCGAGCCGCCACGAGCTCTCCCCGATGCTGATGGCGTCGCCGTGGAAGAAGTCCTTTTACCGAAGCCCAGGGGGACACGAATACCTCGACACGCAGTCCAGGACTTCCGATCCTTTTCGATGTCTCCTGGATCTTCCTCTTCCCCCCCAAATCCCCACACATAATTGTATCACATCCCCCTGGGAAGCTAGTGTTCATTCGAACTTATATGGCGGATTTCGGAAACCCTGAACCCATGAACCATCTCTTGGAGGCTTTTTTTACTTCCGACCTTCCGCCCGCCTTCCGCCGGCTTTCGCCTGCAGAGGCGGCCTCGCTTCACTTCCGCCGACCTTCCGCCGCCTTTCCGACGCCTTCCGCCGAGGAAAAGATGACAACCCCTTTGATCCTAAAAGGCAAGGCCCTTTTTGTATCTATGTGTTTATCTCCCCCTCCGACCTTTGTCGTGTCCACCCACGTCCCCACCCAAGGCCTGCACGGCCGCCCACCGCGGCCCGCCGCCAGGCGCGGCGGAGCACGCCCCTCGGTTGCCTGGGCGCCCGAGGTAATCGTCGTGCTCTGCGGGAAAGCCGCCGACACGACCTCGGCGGACACGCAGAGCAGCCACGAGAGCGTGTGGTGCATGGCGAGCGTGGCCACCGTGGAGGGTTCCGACGGACGCTGCCCAGCCATCGTGCTGAAGAGGAAGCCCGTAAACTCGAGCTTCATGAGGTCGTGCCCGATGGAGTCCGCCACCGCGCTTGCAGAGCGGTTGGTGTGTGTATGCGTATGTGCGTATGTATATATGCGTGTGCGTGTGCGTGTGTTTGTGCGTGTGCGCGTGCGTGTGCGTGGTGCGTGGTGCGTGGTGCGTGGTGCGTGGTGCGTGTGTGCGTGTGTGCGTGTGCGCGTGTGCGCGTGTATGCGTGTGTGCGCGTGTGCGTGTGCGCGTGTGTGCGTGTGTGGGTGTGTCCGTGTGTGCGTGCGTGCGTGTGTGCGTGTGTGCGTGTGTGCGTGTGTGCGTGTGTGCGTGTGTGCGTGTGTGCGTGTGTGCGTGTGTGCGTGCGTCCGAGTATGCGTGTATGTGTGTGTGTGTGTGCGCATGTGTGCGTGTGTGCGCGTGTGCGTGTCTGCGTGTGTGCGTGTGTGCGTGTGTGCGTGTGTGCGCGTGTGCGTGTGTGCGTGTGTGTGTGTGCGTGTGTGCGCGTGTGCGTGTGTGCGTGTGTGCGTGTGTGCGTGTGTGCGTGTATGCGTGCGCGTGTTTTTTGTGTACATATGCGTGTAACTATGAGTGTGTAAGTGTGTGTGGGTGTTTGTGTAATTGTGTGTTTGTGTGTGTGTGTGCGTGTTTGTGTGTTTGTGTGTTTGTGTGTTTGTGTGTTTGTGTGTGTTTGTGTGTTTGTGTGTTTGTGTGTCTGTGTGTTTGAGTGTTTGTGTGTGCGTGTACGTGTGTGCGTGTGTGTGTGGGTGGGTGTGTGCGGTGTGTGTGTGTGTGCATGCGAGCCGGGCACATTGCGAATTGACCGTGCTGACTTTGCGCGACGCAATACTTTAGCGCACCAGCCCCCCGACGCACCGAACACACCGTGCGCCCACTTGCTGCTCAAAGTTCCTCCGCCTCGACCTTCCGAAAAATGATCCCTGCCACACATGCTACCGAAATGTAGCACGCCAACCATAACAACAGGAATCCAATCAACATTGTTTTCCTGGCCTTCCTCTTCCGACTCCTCTTTCTCACGTTCCTCTTCGCCATTATCACCGCCACCACCATCATGATCACCACCAACATCACCGACATCATCACCAGCATCATCATCATCATCACCATCATCGCCATCATGATTATCATCATCATCACCAGCACTAAGCATCACCATTATCATCATCACCCCCATCGTCGGTATCGCCAGCATCATCACCAGAATGACCACCGCCCTCATCACCGCCTCAATCGTCAGCATCATTATTATACCCCCCCACCACTTTCATCATCACCATCACCAACATCATTATCATACATATATATCATCATCATCAGCATCATCATCATCGCCGCCGTCATCCTCAAACGTTTCTTTGCTGACTGCATGCGGATCTCGAACAAGGCAGTAGAAGAAACTAGCAGCCGGTACCATAGCCAGATCTCTGGGGGGCACGCTGCACAACACATAAAAAAACGCGACGTGGCATGCCTTGGAGTTCCACACCCGTCACGCATTCCAGGTCCTGGGCGCATCATTGGGCCCTGCACGCATACACCTCCACGCCGCTTCCAAATCACAACTCGGGTTTCAGGCGGCCGTTCACGTTCAGCCCGCCGAGTTCGGGCAGTCCCGAAAAAACCTTCGGCGAAGCGCACCTCTGCTGGAAAACACCCTGAAGCGAGAAAACGAAACAACTAGAGCTTCGTTTTGGACGCAACGAACACTTATTCGAACAACGGCCTGGGACGCACCGCTGTGGGGACCTAGGGCGCGCCGTCTTTCGGCGGGCACGGGGGAACGGTCCGCGCCAGATCGGAGCCAACCGAATTCGCGCTAGCAATCGTGGACCTCCTCAAACATTCGACGTCGAAATTTGTTTTAACACCGCGGCTCCTCAAATATCTAGACTTTTTTTCTGGGGACGCGCATTTCACCCCGGTCCGATTTTTGGCAACGTGTGGCCCGAAATCGGCCTGCGTAAAAGCCGGAAGCTGTGCACAATCTTCCGTCGTGGTCTTCCCACTGCGCGGGAAAACCAGGGTCTGCCAAAACCCCTTCCGCCCCCGCACCGCGGGCACTGATGGAATTTGAATTCGATCCGGCCCCATTGGTAGAGGAACAAAAATCAGAATAAACGGTAACTTTCGGAGACCCGCGCGGATTTTTTTTGAATCGGCGCTGGGCCCGCTCTCCGTCGCGCGGAGCGCGCCGACGGCGGCATCGGAGGCGCCGCCGGCGTGGTCCACCGCAGAACCAAAAAATCCGCGCGGAATTCCGAAGTCTACAAAATTGATTCGAACCGCCCTGTATTGTTGGGTCCGCGTTTTGAAGGGACAATCGCCGCGTTCACCCTTCCTTCCCCCCCCCTCCCTCCTCCCACGCCTGCCTCTGCCCTCCACGCGTCCGTTTCGGCACGCACGCCCATCGCACGCTTCGAAGGCCCATTGGGAACCCAACAAAAGGCCCAAGTGGCAAAGCTCGCATGCGTCACCACTTTAATTCCGGCACACCCCTCGCACAATTCGCGGCCCCACGAAAGCCGCAATTGCAAGTTTCGAACTCGATGCCACCCCCAATTCGGCACGCCCCCCGTACGCGTCGAGCCCCCACAGGGCCTTTCACCGAAGGCTCCAGCGGCAAGGTCCGCACGCGATTCCACCCCCGTTCCAGCGCACCTTCCGCGCGCTTCGTGGCCCGAAGGGCGGCCCACCAAAGGCCGCGGCGGCAGAGTTCGCAAGCGGTTCCACCCCATAGTTCGGCGCAGGCCCCCGCGCGCTTCGCGCTCCCATAAGCGGCCCCGCCGAAAGCCGCCGGGGCACGGTTCGCATTGGTTCCACCCCTACTTCGGCGCGCCTCTCACACGCTTCGTGGCCCACGCGGACCTCCACCGAATGCCCTCGCGGTAGGGTTCGCACGCGGTTCCGCCCCATTTCGGCGCACCACTCACGCGCTCTGCGCCCCCATGGTGAACCCCGCCAAAAGTCCCAATCGCGGGACTCGCACCAGGCTGCCCGTCCATCTCGGGGCACCTCTCACACGCTTCGAGTTCCCATGCGGAGCTCCGCCGATGGCGACCCCCCTACACCTGCGGCGTTCACAACTACACGTGGCCGGGCCCTTCGCCGAGACAGAAATCTTCTGCTGGTTGAATCCACGACGTGATGCGAATCTCATTCGGGCGGGACCCGCGAGTTCACGGAAATCCCTGCACTTTCGGGCGCTCGCGGGGCTCCCCGCGCGCATCTCCAGAGGCCCTTCGGCCGCGTTGCCCAGAATGACTGCGGCGGCAACTCTCTGCGAGCTGCCGCCCAATCGCGGAACCTCACGCGCCAAGTGCAGGAATTTACTGAAGCCACTCGCCCTGGGGTCTTTCTTCAACAAGGCGGGCGGCATCACGACTCACAACGGAGGCTGCGTCGGCGAGCTGGACCCCTCGAGCGGCAGGTTGAGCAGCGCCGCCGTTGGAGCCTTGTGCGTTTTCACGGATTGGCCGCGCCGCAAGCTGAGCAGCGCCGCGGCGTCCGCGGGCGGCGCCCCTGGAAACCGAGCGCCGCCGCCGTCGACCCTCGCCGGCGCGGCTGCTGCCTCCGCTGCCCGAAGCTGCCCGCCTCCGCCCGCGGCCCTCGGGAGGTGGCGGCGCGGCCCCTGCAGCAAGCTGAGAAGCATCGCCGCGGCCTGCTTCCGCCAGTGAGACAACGCGGATCCCCAGGTGCAAACGGATGCGGCGGAAGCCCCAAGCAGTAGGCTTCCTCCACCTCCCAACTAAAGGTTTCTGCGTCGGTACGCTGAGCAGGGAATGCGAAAAACATGCCTGTCAAGTCCACGCCAATGACAAAAAAACTCGCGCATGGCAAACCCGCGCAGGCGCAATCATGACCCCCGCCTTGTCGACAACGCCTTGGACCGACACGGCAGCAGAGCTAACAACAGCAGCAGCAGCAAAAGTGGGCCGCGGAACAAATCGTGTGTGAACCAAATCGAGCCACAACAGCTGAATGAGTCTCGATTCTGGATCTGCCATGGATGAAATCGAGCCATAACATCAGAGTTCATCTCATGTTTGGGTATGCGGTCTGGGAGGGATCTGCGAATATTTAACCACGATAAGAATCTACCCTCTAGCGAAATGTTATTGTGGGCGCGTGGTTCCAGCTCGGGACAAACATCTTAGAAACCCCCTCTTGGTGGCCTGGACACGTGGAAACAAACGTATCCAGCTCGGGGCAACCATGTGAGATACCGCCCTGGGTGGCCTGGACACGCAAAACACGTGGCTCCAGCTCGGGACCACAATCTTGGAGAGAGCGCGTTTCACGGGCGCTTGCCTTGGGAATATTCGGCGGCGCGTTTCGAATCGGGGGGGAGGGACCTTCCCCACCCAACACTCGGCGCCGTCGATCAGGACCAGGGGGACTCGCTTCCCCCCTAACCCCCCCCCATCCCGAACCCCCCCCCTTTCCAAGGAGGGGGGGGGGTCCAACTCCCTCCCCAACGCGCCGACGCAGGGACGCAGGGACGCAGCGACGATGACCAGAGAGGGCCCATAGGCCGCAGAGGGAACACACAAATCGCCATATCGACCCCTGGCTCCCCAAAGGCCACCGAGAGGCCGTCAGGAAGGTCTACCAAGCTTCACACATGCTCCTCAGACGCCCCCGAGACCCATCTGACGAGACCTCAAGAGGCATCCCTTACTCTGACCCAAAACAAAACACGATTGCGGGAAGAGCCGAAGGCCACACCACCACCAACACCACCACCACCACCACCAACACAAACCACCACACAACCACCACCACCACCGCCACCACCACCACCACAACCAACCACAAGCACAACCACCACCACCACCACCACCACCACAAACCAGTACACCAACACCACCAAAAATGCCACCAACACCAGCACAGCCACAACCCACCACGCCAAACCATCACACCACCACCACCACCACCACAAACCACCACACCATTACCATCACCATCACGCCCACCACCACCACCACCATCACCACAACCCACCACCACCAACACAAAACACCACAGCACCACCACCACCACCACAATCACCACCACCACCACCAGCACCCACCCACCACCCACCACCACCACCAACAGCACAACCCACCGCCAGCAGCAGCACCACCACCAACAACACCACAGCCCACAACCACCACCACCACCACCACAAACCACTACGCCACCACCACCACCACCACCACCACAACCCACCACCACCACCACAAACCACCACAGCACCACCACCATCACCACAATCACCACCACAACCAGCGCACACACCCACCACCTAACACCACCACCACCACCACCACCACCAGCACCACCACCAACACCATAGCCCACAACCACTACCACCACCACCACACACCACCACGCCACCACCACCACAGCCACCACCAATACCACCACCAGCACCACCTCAATCCACCACCACTACCACCACCCAACCACCACACAACCACCACCACCACCACCACAGCCACCACCACCACCACAACTCACAAGCACCACCACCACCACTACAACAACCCACCGCCACTACCACCCCTTCCACCACCACCACAATCTACCACACCACCACCACTACCGCCACAACCACCACCACCACCACCACTACCAGCAGCACAACCCACCATCACCACCACCACAAACCAACACACCTCCACCACCACCACCGCCACCACCACCACCACCACCACCAAAAAAACACCACTGCACAACCACCACCACCACCGCCACACCACCAACACCACAACCCACCACCACAACCACAAACCACAACCACACCACCACCCAACCACCACCACCACCACCACAACCCACTACCCACCACGACCACCACCACCACCACAAGCCACCACACCACCACGACCACAAAACCACCACCGCCACCACCACCACCACCACAACCGACCACCACCACCACTACCAGCAGCACAACCCACCAGCAGCACCACCACCACCACAAACCACCACGCCACCGCCACCACCATCGCCACGATCACCACCAGCACGCACCACAAGACCCACCACCACCACAACAAACCACCACCACCACCACAGCCACCACAACCACGACCACCACCACCGCCACCACCACCACCGCCACAGCGCACCACCACCACAACCACTACCACCACCACAAGCACCACGACAAATCACCACACCACCACCAACGCCACCACGATGACCGAAAGCCACCACCGCCACCACAAAAACCACCGTCACCACCACCAGAAACCACCGCCTCACCACCAGAAACCACCACAAACCACCACCACCGCAATCTGCCACCACAACAAACACAACAACCACCACCACCAACCACCACCACACCTCCACCACCACCAACACCGCCACAACCACCACCACCACAACCACAGCCCACCAACACCACCATCACCGCCTCAGCGAGGCCCCAAAAGGAGCCTAAGAGGCGCTCAGGAGGCTTCACACATGCCCCTTCAGAAGCCCCCGAGAGCTTTCCGACGAGACCCCAAAAGGCACCCAGTATCCAATAGGACTTTGACCCAAAACCAAGGCACGGTGGCGGAGCGTCGTCGTCGTCGTCGTCATCGTCGTCGCCGTCGTCCTCGTTGACGCTCCCGCCGCCGCCGCCCGCCGCCGCACGCGTCGGCGCCGGCCTAGAAAAGGAACTCGTCATCTTCATCGACGCTCCCCGCCGCCGCCGCCGACGAAGGGTCCGGTCCCAACCCCCCCCCTCCAAGCGACCACACAACACGCTCTTTCCAATATTATATACCCCCACGACGCCTGCTCTGGGCAACCATGCTGGATACCGCCCTGGGTGGCGTGGACGCGTAAAACGCACATGGATCCAGCGCGGGACCAGCATGTCAGAAATCCCGCCAAATGGCCTGGGCACGTCAAAACACGTGGCTTATCACTTCTGGATCAGGGAGGGTTGGAACGAAGCAACAGTACAATGGTGAAACTGAATTCTGGACCAAATCGAACCAGAACACCATAGAAGGTCTCATGTTCAAATCGAGCCAGAACACAATCGTGAGCACTGTCGGACAGTTCTGCCTAAGCGCCGCTGGGCCTGGGAGACGCCTCCCCCCAGAACCCCCTATGTGGAGATTCTGGAAAGAGGAATCTTTGGACTCTGTAAAAACCCGATCGAAAAAGCTATCAGGAATGTGCCCAAGCACAGCACCCGAATAGCAGCTAAAGTGTGGAACCGAATGGACGCCTGGAACGTCGGCTTGCGAAAACGATCTCTTCGGATCGTCGGTGAGACTACGGAGTAAAACTCGCTAATGAGGGTGACGTTCGTGATGCCGACATGGTGACATAAATGCGCCTGGAGTATCATTAGCGACCGAGCGACCACACTCCTGGCAGCCGGAAATGTAAAAAGCCGATGGCCCAGCCACACTTTCTGGACCTAGTATAGCTGGAATGGTGAAAACCCGATGCCCCTGTCATAATTTCTGGACCTGCAACGGCTGAAATCGAGCCAGGGGACCATGGTGAATCACATTTCTGGATCTGAAAGGGCTGAACTCGAACCGAAATCGAACCTGAATACTCGGCACCCCCTGTGGAGATTTTGGCGACAGGAATGAGTGAACTGGAATCGAACCAGACCACAATAGTGACTCTCATTTCTGACCAAATCGAGGCAGACGTCAATAGTGAGTCTCATTTCTGGAATGGGAAGGGCAAGTCGAGCCCGAACACCATGGTGAGCCGCGCTGGTGAACCAAATCGAAGCACAACACCTGGGTGAGTCTCAGTTCTGGATCTGCGAATGCTGAACTCGATCCAGCACGCTCGGAAGCCCCTTGTCGGGATCCTGGCTGAAAGAAATGTGTGAGTTCAGATCGAGCGAACAGACCAAACCGAGCCAGGACACCATCCTGGGTCGCACTTCTGGACCAAATCGAGCCTGAACACCATGGTGAGCGCTGCTGCCGGCAGGGTCTGGGCCGCGCCGCCTGCCAGGTGAGGCGCCTCCTCCTGGAGCCCCGATGTGAAAATTCTGGGGCGAGGTGTGGGACCCCTCCACCGAAACGCTGCAGCAGGGGCCCGGCCACAAGAAACCTCCCACAAGAAACCCAACCCTGAGACCCCAGGACGTCCATTGCTTTTTTTCGGGCGGGAACGTCACGCTTTCCATAACGAAACCATCAAAACCCAAGAAACTCAGGGCACCCTGGAGGCGAGCACGGTGTTTCTTGGCATGGGCCCCCACTGCATCAATGATTTACCCCAGCACAGCACCCGAATAGCAGATACAGTGTGGAGGCGGAAAGACGCCTGGATCGTCCCCGGCGAGACGCCCCCCCACCACCCACCCAGCCTCCCCATGTGGAGATTCTGGTGAGAGGAATCTCTGACCCTTTTTAGAGCCCTCTAGACCGAAACGCTTTCATGGAAAACTGAGGCGGGGCGCTGCATGGAACCTCCCCCCTCTCATGTGGCAACCCACAGGAGCTTCCCACGCCATCTTGCTGGCTCTTGCGAACCGACGCTAACCGACGCTAGTCGACGCAAATCGACGCTAAATCGACGTTCAACCGACGGTGACCGACGCTCTCTCATCGATCACCAGGCGCCAGCGCACGCTACTGCACTCCAGAGACATAATTCAGAGGACATACAAAGCTCCCATGAGATGCTACCGGACCCATCAGCTCCCCCCAACTCTCGACGGAGACACCAGCGACCCTTCTCGGCGGCGAGACGGAGGCGGAGGGGTACGAATAAGGGGGGGGGCAGGTTCGGAGGAAAAGAAGGCGGGGCCCTCCTCCTCCTCCACCTGTGGAGGCATCCTAGATGTGACCCGAGCAGATGGGGCTGGAGGGTCGCCCGCCGCGAGCGCCGATGCATCGGCGATACATCGCCGATGCCTCGGCCATGCATCGGCGACGACGGCGATGCCTCGGCGCCGTCCGCGTGGAGAAAGTCGGGCTCCACTTCGAGCCGCAGCGCCGATGCAACAGCGATGCGGCGCGATGCTCCGACCCCATCTGCTCGAGCCCCGAGTGAAGAAGAAAAAACGGCATTAACATAAACTTTTGGCGCTCCGCGCGGATTTCTTGGCTCTGCGCTGGACCCCCCTCCCTGGCGCGCGGAACACACCAGGGGCGTCGCCAGAGGCGCCGCGGGGGGGCCTGGCGGCGGAGCGCCGAAAGGTTCTGTTCATGCTTTTCTCTTCTCCGAGGGTCCTCCGGGTCCTCCTCCTGCCCCTGCAGTGGCGGAGGAGCGCGGCGGCGCAGCTGGCTTGGCGAGCACGGTGTCGAACTGCGACGACATGGCGAAGAGGTGGGCGTGCCCGCCGTGGCGGCGGTGCAGCGCGCGGGCCGCCCAGACGGTGGGGTAGGTGGTCCCGCTGTGGCTGATGCCGAGGACCAGCGCCCCCGGCGAGAGGCGGAAGGAGAGGCGCGAGATGGCGAAGTTCCTCGCGAGGCGGCGAGCGGGGAGAGGGAGCCCAAGACCAGGGGAACGAAGAATGACATGAACATAAAACCTCGGAGGTCCGCGCGGACTTCTCGGATCGGCACTGGACCCCCCTCCATGGCGCGCGGAGCGCGCCAGGAGCGGCGCTGGAGGCGCCGCCGGGGGGTCCAGCGCCGATCCGAGAAATCCGCGCGGATCTCCGAGTTGCTGTGTTAATGTCATTCTTCGTTTCCCTAAAAACGTCTCAAACCCTGAGATCCTGGCGCCTCTTTTCGAGCCGGGCGTTTCCGCCAGGCTTCGAGCCCCAGGACCCTCACAGATCGATCCGGCTCGAAAAGTGCAGCCGAAAGATGGGGGCTGGGGTTCTGGCCATGATTTCTGTTACGGTGTTTGGCTTGTTTCGCGCCGTGCGATCTCAACGGACCTCCATTGAGCGGCGAACATCTGCATCCGTACCCGCACCCTCGCAGGTCTGGACTCTGGGGCTCCTTCTTAGCAGCCACGGGTTTGCCAGCCTTCGCCTGACTTCTGATATTTGCTACCGAAGTCACGCCGTGCGCGAGCCGCGCGGAGGGGGCGCGCGCGGAAAGCCCACGGGAGGAGCCCAGGAGGGGGACACGCGAAGGACGGCGCCCCAGGGGCACCTTGCACCGTGGGAGGTGCCCGAGCAGGCAGCAAGAGCACTACAGGCAAGCCCAGTTTGTGAAAAGCCCAGTTGGCCGCACCCGCGGATACGCGGTCGCACGGATACGCTCCGAGCGGGGCAGCCGCGAGGAAATGCCAGGTGCATCCGCGGGGTCGCGGCCCAGGGGCCCGACCCGCGAGGCCGCGGATACGACTATGTTTTTCACCCACGGGCTCCTGGGCTCCAGGTGCCCATGGGCCTCTTGAAGCATGCCAAGCAGCCAATTGGAGCTCAGGGCCGTGACGTTCAGCAGCGGCATCATGCGCTTGAGGTCGGCGGCGAACTGCTGCCCCAGCCAGAGGCTGTTCTCGATGCCGAACACGAGGACGTCGATGCCGTCGCCAGCACCGCTGCCCTCGCGCCGCTTCCTCGCCAGCAGCTCGGAGAGGCACCTGCCGAACCTGCGGCCGCTCTGGTGGTTCAGCGAGGTGCGGTCCTTCCACGCGTCCTCGACCTGCTGCAGCACGGAGGGCACGTCGTTCAGGTCCTGAGCCACGGGGTCCAGCCCCCCCTGGGAGTTGCCCAGCTTCCGGCTCGGCGGCGGGGTGTGCAGCAACACCCAGCGTGACACGAATGCCCTCATCGTGAGGGGCCTGCCGGCCGAGTCCAGGCTCACGCCGCGGGCCAGGAGGTGGTGGTCCATCACCTTCGAGGTGTCGAGCGCGGGCATCGGGAAGAAGTGGGAGCTGGCGACCGAGACGGGGCTCACAAGGTTCCTCAGCCTGGCCACGTGCTGATCCGCCGTACCTCGGCGGAGCGCAGAGGGGGGTGGGGAGAGGGGGGAAGGCTTCTCAGAAGGAGGCTGCTTCTTGGAAGGCGCCGGCCTTGCATCTATATAGAGAAGGACGCGCCTCCTCAGAGGCAGCGGTGCTTCTGAGAAGCCTCCCCCCCCTCTCCCTATACCCCCCTCTGCGCGTGGCCGAGCACCCCCGTGCACGATCCTGAGCTCCAGGGCCTCGCCGGCCGCGTCGTTGAGGTCCCAGCGCGCCCGCGCTGCCCGGGTCCGCAGGCCGCGGGCGTCCAGGGCTGGCCAAGCGACCAGGAGGCTGCTCGGCTCGGAGGACCAGATCACGAGCGGGCGCGTCGGGTCAACGGCGAGAGAGATGGGCTGCCCCTTGCTGGCGAGCACGATGGATGTGGGCCACAGGGTGCACGAGACTGAGATCCCAAACGTGCCCTCTGCATGCTGGAAGAAGAGCTGCACGCTGCTCAGCAGGTCCATGCCGAAGAAGTAGTCGCAGGCCCTCAGCACAAAGTTCCTGAGATGGACGCCTGTAATCCCATGAGGCTGAATGTCTGCCGCATTCCCCGGCTGCTCGAAAAACTCAACGATCTTGTCAGCCAATGCCCTCACCGCATCCTGCGTGGGCGAAAAATGTCCTGCGACCACCGCGCTCGACCGCACGAGCCCGCCCGCTCGGCTCGTGGGCCCGTTGGCGTCGGAGCCGCAGGCGCGCAACGCCTCCCCGAAGAAGCGGTCGAACACGCCTGCCCAGCGGGCAAAGGACGCGGGCGACGGGGCATGATTTCGGAAGAAGAAAAACGCCATAAACATAAACTTCTGGCGCTCCGCGCGGATTTCTTGGATCTGCGCTGGACCCCCCTCCCTGGCGCGCGGAGCGCGCCAGGAGCGGCGCCGGAGGCACCGCCGGGGGAAAGGGGGGGCGCCAGCGCGGATCCAAGAATTCTGCGAGGAGCGCCAGAAGTTTATGTTTATGCCGTTTTCTCTTCTTCGAGATTGGGAGCAGCTCGAGACGGTACTTCCCAACCGAAGACCTCATCGACGTGCTTCATGACCTCGGTCACGAAGGCAAGGCGCACGGAGGCGAGCCACATGCCCTGGCAGAGGAGGAGGTCCATCATGCCGGCCAGCTTCGGAGAATCGCCTTTTGCCTCGTTGCTGCAGTGCAGGACCCGTTCCAAAAAGAGGCCCAGGCTGCCATTGGGCACGACCTTGTCGTACAGCTTCCAGCCATCAAAGTCGCCGTTGTGAGTGATCGTCGTGCACACTTCCAAATGCTCGCGCCTCCACGTATGGTTCTCCTCGCACCGCCAGACGTGCTCAAAGTGTGGACCTAGCCACTGGTGCGGATGCGTCTCGACCTCTGCGGGCCCCGAGGACGTCCCGAAGCGCGAGTGGCCCTGCGCAAGCACGACGGGCAGGCCCTTCAGCTCCCTGCATCTCATCAGGCTCGAGCGGTACTGCCACCGCAGACGCGAGCGGAACAGGTCAAATATCTTCGTGCCCAACCGACCGCGCTTCGTCTTGAGCGAGCGCGCCACGACCGCCTTTGACGGGGCCGGAAGGCACCCACACCGCTGCTCCACAGACCTCTCCGGGGATGCGCACCGACCAGGATTTCGAGGCGAATCCAGCCGTGGCGACAAGGGAAGCGCAGCGGTATCGGTACCTTTTCCGCCTCCGAGCCTTCACCTGGTCGCTGCCGTTGCTCAGGAAAGTAGCGACCCCCCCTGCCTGGGCGCCGCGCATCTCCACGATGTCCAGCACGCTGAGCAATAGGCTCTCGCAGACGCCCGGGAACAGCTCCCTGCTCGAGCCGCCCCCTCCCTGCAGCGCATCGCGCGGGACCAGCAGCCCCCAGTTGCCGCAGCAGAAGCAGCCGGGCAGAGCCTGCAGGCCCCAGAGCGGCCCGCCTGGGAGGTCCGAGAGCAGGGCGCCTGCGGCCACGAGCAGTGCGCCAGTCAGCGCTGAAACTGCTCCGAGGTCGCCGCCGCCCAGGCGCGCCCCCAGCCACACCCAGAGCCCGCAGGGCAGCAGCAGCGAGGCCGCCAGGCCGGCGGTCCTCACGCTCGCCTCCGCGCCCGCGCCGCGCGCCAGCAGGGCCCTGCGGGCCCGCGGCGTCAGCGCCACGCAGGCGCCCGGCGCGGCGGCGAAGGGCAGCAGGTGCGGCAGCAGGTGCTGGGCGACCCGGCGCGGCCACGGAGCCCGCGCGGTGGGGCCCGCGGGCGCCAGCAGCCGCGGGCGCGCCGAGGGCAGCAGCAGCGCGCAGGCCGCCAGCAGGTGCGCCAGCTCGTGGAGCAGCAGCGCCGCGGCGCGGGCCGCCCGCAGACAGACCTCGAAGAGCAGGGCGTCCCAGGCCAACGCCGGCCACGACGCGCCCTCCTGAGCATCGCTTAACCGTTCAGCCACGGGCCGATAGAGTCCCCTCGATGGGTGTTATGGACTGTTCACTTCGGGCTTCGGGGTGGGGTCGATGGGCACGTCCCCGACTGGGGTGGTGGCATGGTGGGGATCGGGATGGGTATGTCTAGGTTTCCTAGATGGGGTCGGAGTAGATGGGGTCGGACGATCGCGCCGCACCGCCGATGCATCGCCAATGCGGCTCGGTGTGCAGCCTGATTTGCTTCGTCGACGTCGCCGATGCATCGCCGACGTCGACGATGCCTCGCCAGCGCATCGCCGGTGCATCGCCAGTGCATCACCGATGTGTCGCCAATGTATCGGCGATGCGGCGCGATCCTCCGACCCCATCTGCTCCGACCCCATATAAGAGGCCTCTATTATATAGGGAATGGGGATCGATTAAGCGAGACGCGCCTCCGCCCCGCGGCGGCCGCGTGCGGCGCAGGTCAGCAGCCAGCACGCAGTGACCAGCGTGGGCTGGCCGAAGAGGAGGCTCAGCAGCGCAGCGCAGGTGCGCCGCGGCAGCGCTGCGCGGGCGGGGCCGCTGTCGGCGCCGGCGACGCAGGGCGAGCAGCTCGCCATTCTGGCCTCCTCTCCAGACTGGGCTTCACCCTCGAACAACCAAAAGCCTTCCGTCGTGATGTTGTCACCGCGCGAGGGTGTCAGATCAGGGGCCCAGCACGGGGCAAAAAGACCCGTCGGGTTGCTGCCACGGCGCCCTGGTGTCAGGGCACTCGTCTATTCCCTCACGCCATAGAATCCGCCGAAGACTGGATTCCGTTTGCCGAGCCACATCCAACAGCACAGACAAGAGCCCCCCATCAAAAAAAACGCGGCGAGATCGGGGAGCGGAGAAAGGAGAGGCTCAGTCGGAGTCGGAGGAGGAGGCGGAAGAAGAGAGAGAGAGGGGGAGGGAGGAGCGAGGGGAAGGAGGGGGCGAAAGGGAGGGGGGGAACAGGGAGAAGGAGGGAGAAGGGAGGAGGGGAAGGAAAGGTCAGGGAGGAGGGGGAGGGAGGAGTGAAGGAGGCCCATGGATTCCGAACCGTTTTTGACGGCGAAGGCGTGAACAAAAAGAGCGATCGCGGCGTAGAGAACTAGATCCTGAGCAGGGCTTCCGACTTCTGAAACCACAAATAAGACCCGTTGGCAAGAGGAGGCAAGGAGGAGAAGGAGAAAACGAGGTGTTCCCGCACTCCCCATCGACCGGTGGGGAAGGCCCACGGCTGCAACCCGCAATGGGGGGAAACCCAACGCCAATAGCTCTCGAAGAAGGGGGGAGGAGGACGGCGAAGGCTAGGAGCAGCAGCAGCAGCAGGCGGAGGAGGGGGAGGAGGAAGAGGACGGAGGGAAAGGGAAGCGAACGGGGGATGGGGAGGTTGAGGATGGACGATGAGGGAGGCGAGGGCACATACTGAACAAGGGAGAAGGGAGAAGGGAGGAGGAGGAGGAGGAGGAGGAGGAGGAGGAGGAGGAGGAGCCCTTTTTTTACTCGACGAATGGGGCTGCATGCCATCTGGTTGGGATACAAATTGAGGCGTGAAAACCCGTCGCTGGATCGCACTCTCGCTGATCCTGTCCTGGCCAGCTATGCAGGCTGGTGCACACGCTCGATCGATGCTACAACTCGGAACGCGGCGGGGCAGGCTGCACACGAGGGGAGGCTGGCGCGCCTCTGGGAAACGAGCTATCTGCACATATGCACGGCATGTGAGGCTGGGAAAAAGGAGGAGCGGCATTCGGCTGGCCAGGCAGCCAATGCTAGCAGCCATGGTTCAATCGAACTCGAACGGGCAGTAATCGTCCTCGGAGTCGATCGGGTCCGTGGCAGGGGGAGGCAAGGAGGAGGGTGGGGTCGGTCCCGTGCCCCCGATAGTCTCTCCCTATGGGCGCAGCAGTGGCGGACATACCAATATTGGGAAACGGCGAGCTGAACCCCTCCCCGCACGTTCACCCCTGGGCCCGCCAGCTTCATGAAGACCTCCAAGCGGTTCTTGGGCATCCGAAGTTCAGGGAACTAAAGGACGTCTGGGAGCCCCGCACGTTAGGTACCCTGTTCAGCATCAACTCCGAGGCCTCCGAGGTTTTCCGCAAGTGCGATTTCCGAGCCATGCGCACGACACTCAAGGGATGCGAGTGGGCCCCTCCTGAGCACTTCGAGAACCAGCTTCCCGCAGACGAGGTGCTGGGGGAGACCGATAGTGAAGATGAAGAGCTCGCCCCCCTACTCTGCGGGATCAAAGGATGCCGTGCCAGATTCTCGACGAACCGCGAGCTTGTCAAGCACCAGATCAACGCGACAACGCTCGAGGGCCACGGCACTCCTCCTGTCCTCTCGCAGGTATGCATAGACAATCGGTGCATCAATTGCGACACAGTCTTTGCAAGTACTGATCATACTCGGCGGCACTTGTTTCGAGCTTTGATGTCAGGCAGATGCATTTCGGAGCTGACGAGACACACGCATAGCTGGACCCCCTCCAAGATAGCCGAGTGTCCATTGGGAGAATACAGCGACCAGCCTGAATGCCACACTCACTATTCAGACGCGCTGAAGCTGCGAAGACACATTCGTACCCATATTCCCCCATGTCCGTCAGGCTCTAGGCTTAAGACATCTCCGCCGCGCCCCGCCCACAGCGCTCGAGGCCCTCTCGAGCGCGAGGTGCTGCCACCGCCAGCTTGGCGGCCCGAGGATACCCCCGAAGAGCGAGAGCGGCTCCGAGCGGGCTATCAGCGACTGGCACAGCTTCGAGAACAACGAGCTGAGCGACTGCGACGGCAGCCACAGGGACATCGGCTACCACGTGCAGACCCAGTTCCAGTTGACCGCCCCTCGAGGGTAGAGCTCGCGAGTACTACATCGCGGGTAACAGTCGCGAGCACCCCCCTACTCCTTCGACGGATCCCAGAGGCAGCGGCAGCAGCTGAAGATGGCGGGCACGGCAGCAGCAGCGTCGGCGGCGGCGCGCCCCGCGTGGCTCCTGAAGGGCTCCTGCCCTGCCTCCAACGCTTCTGGGAACGACGGTTCGGCTCCTCCTCCTGCCAAGAACCCGCGCAAGGGCGACAGGGACGGCGACCCGGTCATGGAGGGGGACACGCAGAAGGAGAAGGGCAAGAGCGGCAAGGGGGGCAAGGGCGGTCAAGGTCACCGAGGCGGCAGGCGACGCGGGCGTGGCAACCACAGCGAGAAGAAATTGACATCGAAAGACCAGAATCTGATGCAGTGCCTGGCGACATTGACGAAGCTCACGCTTCAAACGGCCTTCAGGCAGCGCCTATCATCAGCGACGACGATCGACACGCTCACGCTCCCCAAGATGCACCGCGTGGTCCAGAGGCTCGAGGCGGTGATGGTCGAGTACCGCAAGAAGGTGGAGGCGGCCCGCCCGAACGGCGCCGAGGCGCTGCGCGAGGTGGGCTCGCCCGTGGCGAGCCTCGTGGTCGGCCTTCTCGAGAGTCTGATGGAGTGCGACATAGGTGGAAAGGCGAAGGCCGACCTGGGCAAGTACGCGGAGCAGATCATCCCAGCCAACGGAGAGGAGCCGCTCATCACGAGGGCGCACGAGGAGGAGGAGGAGGAGGCGGAGGAGGGGAAGGAGGAGGGGGAGGGAGAAGCGAGGAGGGAGAAGGGAGGGAGGAGGGAGGAAAACAAGTAAAACATGAAGGAAGGATGACGAAGGACGGAAGAGGAGGAGGAGGAGGAATTCTGGACTTCTGGATATAAATACTGGGTCGGTGACGGGCACAGATGGAATGTGTGTGTTTCTGGGCTAACTCGGTCTGCTGTAAGCTGTAAGCCGAAACCCTAGGTACAGTCCATCTACATCATATGTGCGATAACCTGTCACTTGCCTGGGGTGGGCAACCTGATACATCTGCTGAGCTGTGTAAGAGCTACAAGAACTGCAAAACGGGACCCCCAGCCCCGCGCGAAATCTTGAGACATGGCTCCCGTATGCGAGCCCCCGTGCTGTGCAACGGCCGCCCAGGAGGGACTCAAAGCAAGAGCCACTAACATACACTGACCAACTCGAAGCAAGGTGCGCTGAACCAGGTGGTTGAGGACGGAGAAGGATGATCGACGCGCCAAAGAGTAGGGCAGACGGCTCCCTCCTCTGGCTGGGGCGCGACGGGGGGAACGAGCCCCGGAGGATGACGAGGACCAGTGTAAGCCCAAGACGCATCAACGATGCTGAATAAACCCTCCCTCCAAGTTCCCTCATAGGTCCTAAAAGAGTCCCTGGACCAGGGCGGGAGTGTGCGCGACCGACTGGAGCGTCCAACAAGGTGTTACTAAGGCTGTGAACCCATGTTGGCCTTCTGGGGGGTCGACACTAATTTGGGACCCCCTTTCTGTGATCGATCTCCTCCAAGATAACCCCAAGATGTCGCCCAAGGCCCCGAATAAGGCCTCTAGAGGGCCCCAAGAGGCGCCCAGGAGGCCCCAAGAGGCCCCCGAGAGGACCCCAAGAGGCTCCGAAGAGGCCCCCGAGCGGCCCCAAGGGGCTCCCCCGAGGCACCCAAGACGCTCCAAGAGGCCCCTGGGACCGCCAAGAAGCACACAGGACGCCCAAAGAGGATTCCAAGAAATTCTCAAGAGACATCCGAATAGACTCCAAGAAACAACCAAAAGGCCTCTTGCCTTTTCTGCTCGCCCTCCTGCTCCTCCTCCTTCTCCTCCTCCTCCTCCTTCGCATCCTCCTCCTCCGCCACCTCATTATCATCACCAGCATCATCAGCATCAGCAGCATCATCACCACCATCATCATCATCATCATCATCATCATCATCATCATCATCATCATCAGCATCATCATCATCATCAGCATCATCAGCATCAGCATCAGCATCAGCATCATCATCAAGACCGTCATCATCA